CGGGCCGCGGTCACCACCGGGGAGGGGACAGCCTGTGAGAAGGGGAGGGGGTGGGAGCAACGCGTCTGCTGCCGCTCCCGGGAGAGGGGAATAGGGCCGGTGACGTAAGCCCGGGGCTGTGCCCATCCAGAACAGGCGGGGCAAGTCTACGTCACAGCCACTCAGTAACAGTCTAGGTCTTGAAACAGCCTGTATCTCCACTGCGGTGCCACACCGAAGGGAGAAGCCGGTAGGCCACACGGGTCATTTTACACAGGACGCCCCCTTTAGAGCTTCTATAGTTCTAAGGGCCTCAAACCCAGGGCCTGGATTAATCTGGTAGGCGCAAAAGTACTCTATAGCACCAATTTCCCGTATGTCAAACCAGAAAACCCAACCCTCCAGAAAACCAATTCCCTGGGTCCCCCACCCCCAATCACTGACTGGGAAAGAGGCAGGTACCAACACTGATACAGTGCCAAGTCTGGAGAGGACCATGCCCACCTACCCATACTCTTCCAACGGAGCAGATCAGTAAAGAGGCAATGACTTAATTGAATTCATGTTTAATAATTACAGGCACCGTGCCCCCCCCTTTCCCCTGCCCAGGCAGCAGCAGGGGTGGTGCAGGGGCTGGGGCATATGCCCCCAGCAGCGAGGACGGCAGTCCCAAGAGTGATTTCAGAAAATAAAAAAGGACCCTAGAGGCAGGCGGTAGTGCCCCTCCCCCCGCAAAGACACACCAAATTTCAAGACTTTATATATATCTCTGTGCCCCGGGGGGAGGAGAGGGACACTTGGCAGCATCCTGGAGGGGGGGCCCCAGGCAGCCCCAAGCCATCCTGCCTCATCAGCCACTTTATTAGCTCAGACACATCGCACTACAGGCACCCACTGCCACTGCCGCCACTGCCACCGCCGCCCCCCTGCAGTCCAGGCAGCTGGCTGGCTGGGCCATCCACGTGTCCATGGCTCCAAGTCCCCGGCCCCACCCGCCATCAGTTGTGATCAGACTCCTCCTCCTCAGCCTCTCGAAGCCAATTGAAGAAGGCTGTGACAGATTTAAGGGCCACACCCTTGCCCTGCTGCTCAGCAGGGTCCTTGCTGCTTTCCCAGCTGTAGAAAGCGTCTTCCTTCACGACGTCCTCATCATACAGGGCATCAAAGAACATCCGAAGCAGGTCTGCAAGCCACAAAGACATCAATTAGGTGACCAGTCTGTAGCCAGAGGTCCCTCCCAGAGAGACTGTAAAACTACGCCCTGCCCTACTATACTGGCCAGGCTTCTGACAGAATGCTAATCTCATGACAGAGACTACTAGCCTAAGAATTCATTACTTGGCCATTAGCAATCTTCAGAAACAGGCAGTTCTGGTTATTTAGCAAAACTATATGAAAAGGGAAAAAATGAGGCCAGGTGTGGTGGTGCACATCTTTAATCCCAGCACTCAGAAGTCAGAGGTGAGCAGATTTCTCTGGTTGATGCTAGCCCAGTCTGCAATAGACTATTCTAGGCCAGCTAGTTCTACACAGTGACACCATGTCTCAAGGTTGATAAGGGGAAATGGGAACATCACAAGTAGAATCAAAGGAGAGAGATGAAATGAACAATGTCAGGCATGGTGGTTCACAACTGTAATCTTGGAATATAGAGGCAAGAGGTTCAAATGGTAAGGCCAAGTGCCTAAATTAATTCGAGGCCAGCCAGACTACTTAAGATTACATCTCAGAAAACAGTTGGAAACCAGACATCTGAGTTCAACCCTGAGTCCAGGATTGGAGACAACAGGCACAGATCCTGACAAACACTTGAACCATCTCTGGCTTCTAGAGTGCTGCACTCTGTCGGAGTTCCTCGGAGTGCTACACACACACACACACACACACCCCCCCACCCACCCACACACACACACACACACCCCCCCACCCACCCACACACACACACACACACCCACACCCCCACCCACCCAGTCCCCCATGCACTGTTCCTTCCACAGCTCTTTTCATTTCCTCACCCCACTCAGGGCCTGCCTGTTCCATCTGTCAGTCAACTAATTCCTCCCTACCAGCCCTCAGACTAACCTTCAGACCCTAACTGCTTCTGACCCTTGTCTCTAGTCAATACACAACACTGCCTACCCCATTTCGTACAAACTACAGCATGTGCATGAAGCACAAGGCACTCAAGCCCAGCTCCAGGGGGAAATCAATAATGGCTTACCAACTATGACAAGTGCAGGCCAAGGCATTCCTCTGGGCATTCCACCTGTCTGAGGGGACAGCTAATCCTTCACTTATCCCATATGCTCTAAAACCCAAGCATTCTGAGGACTCCATACAATTGCTTATCTACTTCACCCTACGTATTTAACCCACTTGTCCAAATTAAACATAAAAGCCATCTTTCAACTATCCTATAGCTAAACAAGATTTTTATATAATTTGTCTCAGTCAACCATCTGTCCTAATTGCTTATCTACCACTTCCCTATACCAAATTCTTTCTTTTGTTCATAGAGCCCTATCTGTGTCTCTACTTCCCCACTGCTCTATTCCTCTGGAGTCAATCCCATTATCTTCTTGTGAAAACATTTTGGAGAAAGTGATAGTTCCAGCAGGACCTTTCAAAGCAAGAAGCCTCAGTCTTCCCTTACTGTAAAAGGCAAATAAACAGCTAATTGACAACATTTTAAAGGAACTTATGCTTCAAGTACTGTTTTGGTTGTTTTTGTTTTGTTTTGATGTATGCAGCCCTGGCTGTCTTGTGTCACCATGACCAGCTGGGGGTTAGAGTAGGGATTTGATAAAACAAGGCCTGATTCAGCGTAGGTGAGCATTTGGTGCAATAGAGGATCACAGGGTGAGGCACCATTTTCAGCTCAAATTCTTTGCTTACAAAGCCCTGGTGCTACTTATACGGCCTGAAGTACCTATCCCCACGCCCCGCCCCCAACACACACACACACACACACACACACACACACACACACTACTTCACACTTTGATTTCCTCACCCCACTCGGCCTGCCTGTTCCATCTGTCAGTCAACTAATTCCTCCCTACCACCCCTCAGACTAACCTTCCAACACTCCCTCAGCCCCTGACTACAGGCCAGCCCACAACTGTGGTCTGCTTCCTTACTACGGTTACCTAACACACACTTGAACATACCCATGTGCTCAATTTGTAAACCTCAGTCTTACAGTGTGAAAAAAGGAGATAAACCCACAATGGCTATGAGATAAGGCAATGTAAGCCAAGCATTTTAGCCTTGTGCCAGACTCAGTGGGCACATCATGTCTGAAAGATATCATTTTTTGTTGCTGTCACCTACTGGCCAAGCACAAAGCCTGCAGGATGTCAACCCTCAAGGTTTAATTAACTCACTCTTTGTAGGCAAGGGAACGTGCATTGGGTAGGGTAAGGCATCAATCAAACCATCAGGGCATTTTGTTCTTTACCCACCTTTCTTGGGTTGTGTACTTTTCATGACCACCCTCTCTTCTATCTGGCAGTCCCTCTGTCCCACCCATCCCTGCAGCCTGGCTCTTACTGGCAGGCTGTTCTAAGGTCACTACAAGGGCCTGGAGGGCGTAGAGTGCTTGTAGCTCCTTCTGCTCATCACACAAGTATTTCTGTAGCAGTCTCGCTCGCACTTTCAACACTGCAACATCCACTCGGAGAGGAGTCTCAACTACAGGGAAAAAGACAAGGATAAATGAAATAATGTAGACTTCACCTGGCTTAGCCCAGAATGCCAAAACCCCTCTCTCTCCACACAGCCTTGCCCCACCATCTCCCAGGCTCCTTACAGATAATTGCAGAATAACAGACAGTTGTCATGAGGGCTCGAACTAATGTATTGGATGCTATCTGCTGCTCATTCAGGTTGGCCTGTGCAGAAAAACAAAGGCTTTTAAGTTCTAAATTATGCCTCTTAAGTACCCACTCCTGTCACCTCCCAAATCATGCCTCTACCCTTCTCCAACTACCCAGGAGAAACATACCTCTATCCAGTCAAACACCGGCTGGTTACTGCTGTCCTCCTTCAGCAGCTTCTCCAGCTGCTTTCGCAGCTCCTCAAAGGCAAGTGGCCTCTGGCCCGGAGCCTCACACTCTTCTCCCAAGGTATATTCCACCTTCTATAAGCAAATGAAGGACAGCCAAGGTCAGGACTAGTTAGTGTGAAAGATGAGATGAGCTAGCCCCCAAATTCTGAATAAAACTCCAGTCTCAAACCTGTTCAGCCACAAATGTGCTAACGTCTTGGCCTTCTGCTAGAAATTCCCTCCAGCTCAGCCCAGCCTCTCGCCACAGCATTCCCACCTTTTTGGGACCCTGAAAAACAAAAGAGCAATTCAGCATCTCAATATTTACCTCTACCTTTCTATGGCCTCTAGCTCTCAGGACTCAACAGTTCAGCAGTCATCTAAGTATACCACATAGATACCAAACAGGTACCACCCTTCCATGATGAAACCAAACATCCCAAGCAATAGGAACGCACCCACCACCACAGTGGTGTGACATTAGGAGACGGAAAAGCTTCTAGGAAAAAAACCAATTAGCATTTGTAGGAGTCAAGAAATCACTAAATCTCAAAAAGGTAAACAACCAAACCTACACATCTCACCCAGTATATTCCTACTGCATATGTAGTATATATATTTCAACTACATTTCTTTTCCAAAAGCAGCTTTGCTGAGTTTGTTTTGTTTGGGGCCCAGCACCCACATGATAGTTTCACAACTAATCATATGGCAAGTTCCAGGGATCTGACATACTCTTCTGAATTCTGCAGGCACATGCCACACACAGGATCATACACACACACACACACACACACAAAAAAAATCGAAGTTAAATTTTTTAAATGTACCGTTTTCCTCTTAACCACTGAGCTTTTTTGTTATCCCAAGTAAATGAATGTTTACTTAAAAAAAA